ATTATTCTCAAACTATTCCAAAAAATTGAAGAAGATGGAACACATCCTAATTCTTTCTACAAGGCCAGCATTACCCTGATACCAAAACCAGACAAGGACAACACAAACAAGGAAAATTACAGGCCAATATCGCTGATGAACATAGACGCAAAAATCCTCAACAAAATATTGGCAAAATGAATACAGCAATACATTAAAAGGATCACACACCATGATCAAGTGGGATTTATACAAGAGATGCAGGAATGGTTCAACATCTGCAAACCAATCGATGTGATAAACCACATTAACAAAATGAAGATTAAAAGTCATATGATCATCTCAATAGATAAAGAGAAACTATTTGTCAAGATCCACCATACATTTATGATAAAAACTCTCAATATAATGGGCACATCAACATAATAAAAGCGATATATGACAAACCCATAGCCAACATCATACTTAATGGTGAGAAACTGAAAGCCATCCCTCTGAGAACAAGAACAGGAAAAGGGTGCCCCTCTCACTACTCCTCCTATTCACCATAGTACCCGAGGTTCTCACCAGAGCAATTAGGCAAGAAGAAGAAATAAAAGGTATTGGGAGTGGAACAGAAGAAGCAAAACTCTTTTCGCAGATGACATGATTATATATACAGAAAACTCTAAAGAATCCACCAGAAAGCTATTAGAAATAATAACTACAGCAAACTTGCAGGGTACAAAATCAACTTAGGAAAATTAGTTGCTTTTCTAAACATTAATTATGAACTAGCAGAAAGAGAACTCAAGAATACAATCCCATTTACAATCACAACAAAAAGAATAAAATATCTAGGAATAAATTTAACCAAGGAGGTGAAAGACCTATACAAGGAAAACTATAAGACGTTATTCAAAGAAATCAAAGAAGATATAAAGAAATGGAAAGATATTCCACACTCATGGATTGGAAAAACATAGTTAAAATGTCCATATTACCTAAAGCAATCTACAGATTCAACGCAATCCCAATCAGAATCCCAATGACATTGTTCACAGAAATAGAACAAAGAATCATATAATTTATAGGGAAGAACAAAAGACTCCAAATAGCCAAAGTGACCCTGAGAAAAAAGAACAAAGCTGGAGGCATCATAATCACTGACTTCAAATATACTACAAAGCTATAGTAATCAAAACAGCATGGTATTGGCACAAAAAGAGACACATAGATCAATGGAACAGAATTGAAAGCACACGCATCTATGGACAGCTAGTCTTAGACAAAGGAGCTGAGAACACACAATGGAGAAAGGAAAGTCTCTTCAATAAATGGTGGGAAAACCAGACAGCCACGTGCAAAAGAATGAAGGTAGACTATAATCTACATACACAAAAATTAACTCAAAATGGATTAAAGACTTGAATGTAAGACCTGAAACCACAAAACTCCTAGAAGAAAATATAGGCCAGTACATTCTGACATCGGTCTTAACAACATCTTTTTGAATACCATGTCTACTCACACAAGGAAAACAAAAGAAAAAATTAACAACTGAGACTACTTCAGACTAAAGAGCTTCTGCAAGGCAAAGGAAACCAGGAACAAAATGAGAAAACAACACACCAAGTGGGAGAAAATATTTGCAAGTCATACATCCAACAAGGAGTTAATAGCCAAACCATATAAAGAACTCATACAGCTCAACAACAAAAAGACAAACCACCTGATCAAAAAATGGGCAGAGGATATAAACAGACATTTTTCCAAAGAAGATATACAGATGGCTAACAGGCACATGAAAAGATGTTCGTCACTAATTATCAGGGAAAGGCAAATCAAAACTACAGTGAGATATCACCTCATACCCATCAGAATGGCTATAATTAACAGGACAAGAATTAACAGGTGTTGAAGAGGATGTGGAGAAAAGGGAAATTTCATACACTGCTGGTGGGGATGCAAACTGGTGTGGCCACTATGGAAAACAGTTTGGAGATTTCTCAAAGAATTAAAAATAGAAATACCATATGATCAAGCTATCCCACTACTGGGTATTTATCCAAAGAACTTGAAATCAACAATACAAAGAGAGTTATGCACCCCTACGTTCACTGCTGCATTATTCATAACAGCCAACATGTGGAACCAACCCAAGTGCCCATAAACTGATGAATGGATAAAGAAGACGTGGTGGGGGCTAGCCCAGTGGCCAAGTGGTTAAGTTCACACACTCCACTTCAGCAGCCCAGGGTTTTGCTAGTTTGTATCCTGGGCTTGGACATGGCACCACTCATCAGGCCATGCTGAAATGGCACCCCACAAAGCACAACCAGAGCGACTTACAACTAGAATATACAACTATGTACTCGGGGCTTTAGGGAGAAGAAGAAGGAGGGGAAAAAAAAGAAGACATGGTATCTGTGTGTGTGTGTGTGTGTGTGTACAAAATGGAATACTACTCAGCCATTAAAAAAAGACAAAATCGTCCCATTTGCAACAACATAGATGGACCTTGAGGGTGTTATGTTAAGTGAAGTAAACCAGACAGAGAGAGACAAACACCATATGATTTCACTCATATGTGGAAGATAAACACATGGATAAAGAGAACAGATTAGTGGTTACAGAGGAGAAGGGGGTAGGGGGTAGGCAAAAGGGGAAAAGGGGCACATATGTACGGTGACAGATAAAAACTAGACTATTGGTGATCAGCACAATGCAATCTATACAGAAACTGATATATAATAATGTACACCTGAAATTATACAATGTTATAAACCAATATGACCTCAATAAAATAAAAAAAGAAAAATGCCCCAAGCCTGAGCAAAGGAATAAGTTTTAGACTTAGGTCAAAAGTCAAGGATTTTCGACATCTTAAGATGCAAAAGTGAACAAAAGAGAAATGAAAAAAATAAATAACCCCTCAAAAACAGAAAGAAAATATTTCCCAGAATGTTACTAAAACTGCTTTTTTGAGAAATTCTCACAATATTTTTTTAAAAAGGAAAATTAGGAATCTAAGTGTCTAGGAACCCTTCCACAACTCAGTGGGCAGCTTTTTCTTCTAGTTAGATAAAATGAGCCATGCCCAAAAGGCCTATGGAAAAACTATCAGTGACAAGCCTCAGGAGGAACAAAGCCCTCCGTCTTCCAGTCTGGAGACTTTATTCTCTGGAAATCAGCCCAAGGACTTTATTTGGGTGGGAGATGGAGACACTTTACATTCTTAACATTTCATTTGGGCCTCCTTCAAAAAAAAAATCACACTTTTCATTGTTACTGATTTGATAAGAAAATAAAATGTCTTTGTTTTAATTTATATTTCTGTGATTACTAGCAGGGTTGCACCTGTGACTACTCGTAACTTGTATTACTTCTTTGCTAAGAGGCTATTCATAAACAAACATTTTCTTAAGCATTCATCTTTAAAGGGAGGACCTAGTCCAATAGTCCAAATTTTTCCAATAACAGACAGTCTTTCTTGATTAGTTGTGAATAAATATCTATGAGAGTAAATGTATTTAGGAGCAACCACAGAAAAGCAGAGATGTATATCTGTTGAGAGCAGCAAAATAAAAGGCTAACCTTATACTGAAAAATGTGATACAACAATTAAGCAGAGTCTACTACCTGTGCCCCTTGATATCAACAGGCACCTAGGTATGAATGATTATCAAAAAGCACTTGTAGGGGGGGCAAAAGAAAAAAAAACTTCCAAGGGCCAGCCCCATAGCCGAGTAGTTAGTTTTGCGCACTCTGCTTTGGTGGCCCAGAGTTTCTCCGGTCCAAGTCCTGGGCATGGACATGGCACCACTTGTCAAGCCACACTGAGGCAGCATCCCACATGCCACAACTAGTAGGACCCACAGCTAAAAATACACAACTATGTACCCAGGGGGCTTTGGGAGAAAAAGAAAAACGAAAAAAAAACACTTCCATGTAATACTCTTTGAGAGATACAATAAAGATTGGAACTAATTAAAAAAAAAAAGTACTTGTGGGGCCTGCACAGACCTACACCACCCATCAGCAGCTGCGCTGTGGCAGAGACCCACATACAAAATACAGGAAGATTGGCACAGATGTTAGCTCAGGGCAAATCTTCCTCAGCAAAAAAAAAAAAAAAAAAGGACTTGTAATTAGCTATCAAAGTATATTTAAATCACCAATCCGAAATTATTATGGACTGCATAAAGTTTATTTACCCCCATAGCACCTCTGAAAAAGGGTTTGCCAATCTAGTCAATAACATTAATAGAATGCTCAAGTTCGTACCAGGTACTGTGCTTAGCATTTTATTTGGATTGTCTCACTTCATTTAAAATAATAATGCAAACAAGTTGAGAAGGAGGGACTATGTAACATTCAATATGTTATACAATGGGCCTTGTTAATTAAAAGCCTTTCTAAGACTAAAGCACTCTTCCCAGGTAATGATGCTTGAAAAAGGCACCTTTTTGTAAGTCTCTTCTCTACTTCAGAGTATTACTTCTCCACATATTTGGACTTTCCTATTACATTCCAGGGAAATTCCTAGATTAATAATAAAGGAAAGGAGAGGGCCTTGATGCTAATAGGTAGCAGGGAGAAGTATAGGATTAAATAGTTAAGAGCAACATCCAACTGTACCAGAATCAATGACATTTCCTCTTTTCTATTATATACTACCTACTTGTTAAAAACAGGGCTCAAAATCCTAAGGTTTCCGGGGCTGGCCCCGTGGCCAAGTGGTTAAGTTTGCACGCTCCGCTGCCGGCAGCCCAGTGTTTCACTGGTTCGAATCCTGGGCGCGGACATGGCACTGCTCATCAAACCACGCTGAGGCAGCGTCCCACATGCCACAACTAGAAGGACCCACAACGAAGAATATACAACTATGTACTGGGGGGCTTTGGGGAGAAAAAGGAAAAAAAAAAAATCTTAAAAAAAAAAAATCCTAAGATTTCCTACAAATGAGAACATTAAAGCATATGTGCTCCCTTAATTTCTGTAATTCTAAACAAGGTAAACAAGAGTTCCACAAAACTTACCTGCACTACTTGTTTCTGTAGCTGTGTTGCCTGTGTCACTGAAATCTGCGTTTTTTCTCGTGCACCTCGGAACCGGTCACTGCTCACCGAAGTCATCATATACAGTATATACAAAATAACGTATGTACAAAATAGAAAATCTGCAAGAAAGCAGGCATGGTAAGCATAACTTCCAAATCACAGTAAAAGGCAAGGACAAAACTCAGGGATAAGGAGGGAACATGAGGTAAAATATAAAGGTTCTCTAGAATACAAATTCTCAAGAAACAACCCGTAAGGATCGTTAGATTTTTCCTGGCAGTGCTTAAGCCAACTTTATTAATGCAATCTAAAAGTCTATGGTTTACGATTATAGTAATTCTAAACAGAAATCTCAAATATTACCGCTTTTAACCAGCAATTATTTTATCACTATATATAGTTTTATCTGCCTCTTCCCATTTGCAGCTGGTATTTAAACCTAAAGGCAACACTGTATCCAGCCAAGATCTGGCCTGGCAACAAACCAATTCAAAATGCGATGTCCAGGAACAAGCTATACCTAAACACAAAAACCACTTCTAAACAATAAATCTTCCAAGGAGACCAGAAAATTGTGCACATAATTCTCATTTATTTATTCAACAAATATACTAAGTGCCAAGCATGTGACTAAATATAACACGCCATTAAAACATGATTACAACAATCATGAAATATCATTTCACACCCATTAGGATGGCTATTATAATGAAAAATTAAAAATAGAAAATAAGTTTTGGCAAGGACGCAGAGAAATTGGAACCCTTGTATACTGCTGGTGAGAATGCAAAACGGTGCACCCACTATGGAAAACAGTATGGCAGGTCCTCAAAAAAATTAAAAATAGAATTACCATCTGATCCAGTAATTCGACTCCTTGGTATAGACCCCAAAAAACTGAAAGTAGGGTCTTGAAGTGAGATTTGTACGCCCATGTTCATAGCAGCATTACTCTCAATAGCTAAAAAGGGGAAGCAACCCAAGCTCCTATCAACAGATGAACAGGTAAGCACACATGGTATATACATACAATTGAATACTATTCAGCCTTAAAAAGGAAGAAAATTCTGACATATTCTAAAACATGGACTAACCTTGAGGACATTATGCCAAGTGAAAGAAGCCAGTCACAAAAGGACAAAACTCTATGACCCTGCTTATACGAGTTACCTAGAATAGTCAAACTCATAGTCAAAGTTGAATTAGTGGTTACAGAGGCTGGAAACAGGGGGATGGGGAGTTATTCTTTAAAGGGTATAGAGTTTCCATCTGGAAGACAGCGAGTTCTGAAGACAGATGGTGGGGATGGTCATAAAGTCACGTGCATGTACATAATGCCAGAGAAATATACACTTTAAAATGGTTAAAATGGTAAATTTTGTTACGCATATTTTACCCCGATTTTAAAAAGCAGTGCAGCAATGCCTTAAAAGTTTACTTTCCAACCTAGAATTCTACACTCAGCAAAACACTCATCAATGTGAAGGCAGAAACAAGTTGTGTTCACATATGCAGTATCTCATAAACTCAGAAAGCTCCTGGAACAGACAAAAACAAAAGAACAAACCAAGAAGAGGCCATGTGCAACTGACACCATGAACTACCTCCCAAAATCCATTCACAACATACTATTTTTCCCTCGCCATTCATCCTCTTTAAAGAGGGTGAAAGCTAAATTTCTCAGCCCCCTTTTAGCTTGGGATGGCTATAGGCCACTTTTCTAAAAAATCATCTGAATATTCATAGCACCTTTATTCACAGTTCCCAAAAACTGGAAATAAGCCAAATGCCCTTCAAAGGGTGAAGAATGTGAAGCACAGCCATACAACTGAATATTACTCAGCAATAAAAAAGGAATCAACGACTGATGCACACAACAACATGGATGAGTTTCACATACATTACGCTAAGTGAAACAAGCCCGACTCGAAAGGCTGCATACTGTATAATCATACTTTTATGACATTCTGGAAAAGACAAAACTATAGAGACAGAAAACAGATCACTGGTTGCTGAGAACTTGAGACTAACAAGGGGGTCCAAACCAGGAGAGAGGAGGTTCCCCCAAATGGCAGCCAAAAACATCAAGATGACAGCTGTGCAGGAGGCCCATAGAGCAACCAAATCTAACCGGAGCAGGACAAGAGAGGGTTTGACCATCCTAAGAAGGTACTTTGCACATATGAAATAAAGTACAGAGATGGGGACTGGCCTGCTGGTGCAGCAGTTAAGTTTGCACGCCGCACTTTGGCAGGCCAGGGTTCGCCGGTTCACATTCCAGGTGTGGACTCACGCACCACTTATCAAGCCATGCTGCGGCAGGCGTCCCACATAGAAAGTAGAGGAAAATGGGCACAGATGTTGGCTCAGGGCCAATCTTACTCAGCAAAAAGAGGAGGATTGGTGGCAGATGTTAGTTCGGGCTAATCTTCCTCAAAAAAAAAAAGTACAGAGATGAATCAGTGGGGGTACAAGGCAACTTAAGCAACTGTGAAAAAAAACATTAAGTCCAAAAAGAAGGGCAGGATGGCTCAACTGTGAGTAAAATTTATATGGTTGTAATATGAACAGTAAATACTGATCTAACCAAAAATTATTACATAAGACTGGGGGGACAGAAGGAGAAAATATAAATATAAACTGAGAAAAAAAGGGGGAGGGGAGGACATAAATAGCAGAAGAAACACCTAAGAGTTGAAAGTGACTGCTTCTGAAGAATGAGATCCAGAAATAAGTCAAAACAGGGCAGGGGATTATTGTGGATATACAGAACTTGCTGAAAAACAGTAACTTTTTATTCAAATTTACTGTGTGCTCACCACCAAGCCAAACGTTTTAGATACATTATTCCCTGTAATCCTCAACAACACTCTATAGGAACTTGGCACAATCGCCATTTTAAGAACCAGAAATAAAACTTGGAAAGATTCTACACAGAAGATGTAATATAGCAAGTCTTGACTGCTTATTTCCTGGGGTACAGAGCCTACAAACCAAACTAGATACTAAATTACAAAATAACTTGTTGCCTTCATAATCCTAAACTAGCAAAATAATGGCAAAAGGCCAGGCTGTAGGAAACATAACTCTTATTAAAACAAGCCATGCAGCATCCAGCTGAAGACAAGGCAGCACCCCAAGCACAAGACCTATAGCTAGAGACACTACAATTTACAGCCCTTCTATAGCATGCCTTACCATCTCCCTAACTTTTCCTGATGTCATATAAACTCAAAACCACCAATGTTGAACAACATAAACATTTAAAATGACATGGAAGTAAAACCTTTTATATTTTCAAACATTTTAAATCACCGCTTGAATCAAATGTCCGTTGGAACTCTACAACTGGTATTGTAGAAATCACTGATGACCACTGCGAATACGGTTTTGGTACAGTGGTGAGGAAAAGGCCAAGGTGAGTGAGGAACAGAGACAGCAAACTAACCGTACTTGCAAGAGGTGGTAGCTGGAAGGTGATACAGAGCATCAAGAGGAATTTGGCACAGATGGGGTACACAACAAGTCTAACATCCTGTAAGTCCATGAGGACAGTGATTGTATCTGTCCTGTTACCTTTGGTCTTCCAGGGCCTAACACAGGATATGAGCTTAATTTATCCATATATATTTACTGAATAAAAGAGGCCTATCTTTAAGCTAAAGAGGAGAAAATTGAGAGGCAATAAATTGAGATAGTGATAAAGCGAAATCATTCACTTGGACAAGAAGAGTGATTCCTCTCCCAAGTCTAGCAGAACGAAGAAAAGGGCAGGTATGGCACCAGCTAAATTTTTAGAGATTAGGAAAGACAGCCAGTGGAGTCTGTTGTACCTGTCTTTACTACGTGAGTAAAACAGACAAAGCCATCTGCAGAGATTGAGTACTAGATGGGGGGGTTGGCAGGTGGAGGAATGTAAGAAAATGGCAAAGGTTTGTAACAGTTACTAAGTGACTATGAGAGGAAGCTGATAGAAAACAAGTAAAAAGAAGTGAAGAGTGACACTGGGGATCCCAACCAAAAACAGCTATCTTGAGTATCTAGTGGCACTAATCCATGTTACCATGAAAGCAACTGAAACGTCAAAAATTCAGGATCACAACTTAATTGAATACAAGGAAGGTGAGGGTTAAGATGAATAGATCCCTTGTTGAAGCATCCCACAAAACAAAAAGGATTTGAATTTTAAACTAGAAAAAGTCCATTTATTCAAGGCACAGATGACGTCGCCAGGCGAAGAGCTGCTCATATCTACCTCTAACACTGGCGCCTTTCCCATAAGCTTCAAGCTTCAACACATATTTCAAAACATTCCTTCCTAAAGAACGCTCTCCAGGTTATTAGAAACCCAGCTGCCAGATTCATCTCTCACAACCTCACCAAAGGAAAAAATAATATTTAAAAATAATGTTTTTCATTAAAGATGCATTTTATCCTAATATGGTGACTCTTAACCTTTTGGGTCATTAAGTATTTAGACAACTTGATGAAAACTATGGACCGTCTCCTCAGAAAAATGCATATGCACACAAAATTCTGCCCAAAATTTCAGGAGGTTTACATCTCCCATAATCCCGTCCATGGGCAACCCCACTCCACCCCCTCAATGCCCACGGTCACCCAGGCTAAAAACCTCGCTCGAAGAAGTCAGCAAAGCTCTAAAATATACTTAAAGCTTAAAGATATTCCTGATCAGGCAAAATTAAAATATAACTCCTAATTTGGTCATGAAACAAAATCTTTTAATTCACACACTTTTCTAATGGACTAAATCCCCTAAAAACAAGGCACCCGCTTTGCTCCCAAAGGAACAATCAGGAGAAAACTCATACTCTCTGGCCCTCAATAAACTTACACCTAGTCTTAGTATTTAATCAACGCACTACCTATTATCCTTTCTGGAGAAACTGGTTGTCAAGATCTGCTGAGATGGTACAAACCCCACCATTAATGGAAATGTTCAACATCTGCTGTTCTAGATGAACATACATCATCAGTGGGAAAACCTACACATCTTTCCCTCCGAACCACATTTAAGAGCATAAATTGGAGACAGACCAACCCTCTATGACCTACAAATATCTGCTCAAATCAACTGGCCTAAAAATGGCACAGGAAA